TTAAGTCATTGTCATAAATTAAACTCTAAGTGGTGCTGTTCTTTTTTAAATATTTAAAAGGTAACATCAGTGAAGTTTGAAGTTGTTGTAGTTTCTAATGCTACTTGCCCTTGCCAGAAAGCCCTCATAGTGAAATCAAGCGAATTTACGGCAGAGGGTGCGTATCTCGTTTTTCAGTGGCGTCATCTATCGCCAAGAATACGACTTCAACCACACACACACACTTCACCACCCGTTTATGGGGTGGACCCATTAATATATCCATTCATTCATTCACACCTCATAATTTGGACCTGAACCAGAGAACGATCAGCCTCAAATTCTCTACCAATAGAGGTATGATTTCTTATGGAAATATGGAAGACTTTATGACCTGACTGATTTAACGTGCACCCAGTCACCATTTACTACACGGAGTCTTCGGCTGACGGGAATGGAACTTACGACCCCTACCAACCAGTCTCTCCTGGCTTTATGAAGTTTGTTTCTCTACAGTTCTTTTTAAGTAAAACCAAATTTCAATGAGAGTTATTACGCGTTCCTTAATGATTATTTAACTTTGATTAATTATGTTAATTAAACTTAGCTAAAATCATCGTTTCGTAACTTTTGACATCACTGAATTGATAGTTTGAAAAATACCAAAAACAGCGTTTGTTTATTTTGTTCTATATATATTCTCATCAGAAATTTTCTTCTATAAAGAATTTTTTTTTAAAAATTAAAAGCAGTTAAATGAGAAAAAGACATTTCTTATCCTCTGAAATGTAGGCCTATTTTAAAAGTGTATTATTGAGGCAAATTTTGACATTCCTGGGTTAGCAGACGAGCTATTGCATTATATTCTATACCGAATTGTATAGTATTATAGTAATATACTTATTAATTATTTTCTATAAATAAGCTACTAAAAAGTTATTTTCGATTAATTTCTTTTATTTTACAACTGACCTTGAACAGTCGATACGGTTTTAAGAGTATGACTATTAATGCTCAACTGCATAGCCTTGAAATTATAGCCGAACAATGAAGACAAGGGAACTCCAGGATTGATCAGGGGAACAAACTAGACTTCTTGATGGAACTAACCTGCATTAACGTTACATAGAGAGGAAAACCCCGAAATCCTTCGGTTAGCTCTATGCCAATGTAATTGTAACTCATAATCCATCTATCACTGATAACAGTCTACGTCAGCACTGCATTCGGTGCGAGCAAAGAGCAGAATCACTACCATCACGGTTACCATAGATCCGCTTAATTTATTAACGAAATAGTGCCAAAAAGGGCCACAAATATTAATAAAAAGATATTGAGATTTTACAGAGTTTAAAATTTATTTCATTATTCGTTTCAAGTTTTATAATTCTAAATTCGATAACTGGTGCTTCACTCTGTAACAAATTACTATTTTCTCACTCATGCACGTTCGCGAAAGAAATATTTTTAAACAATTGAATGCAAACCCCCTTGCAGAAAATCGGACTGAAATGAATTAGCGGCAAAAAGGGAGTGGTCGTTATCAATCCTAAAAGCTTGGAAACCTAATTTCGCGGTTCTCATCGCTGCGGTTAATTTAAAGGCTAAATTGATGCAAGAATTCTTATATATTGGATTTGCCGTTCCTATCAACACTTACAAAGTTTAAATGAGGAGTTGTCTCTCTTCATTAACTTTTATTCGAAATTGAAACTCCTAGTTTATATTTAATTATTTAAGTCACATACAATTAAATTTGTTATTTTGTTTTGCGGCAGAAATTAGCACAAAATATAGCTAAAGTTTCCATTCAAAAAATTTTAAAATGTCAAACTGGGACATTAATGATATAAACTGATGCACGGTTTTTTTATAAATGTAGAAGCATAAAATAAAAATGAGAATACAAAGTATAAATAGAACTATTATTTGATAATATTCTTAACAATTGCCGTAGTGACTCTGAAAATAGAGCATTCGTCGATCAATGAGGTATCCTAGGTTCGAATCCCAGCGGTGACCAGTTGAAACGAATTCTTTTCCCCGTAAATACCGAGCACAGCGCTGACGTAAGATATCCTCATTGGTAGACGGATCAAGGGTCAGAATCCCTTTGCTGTCTCACTAACCGTGAAAGTTTTCGTCGTTTCCCTTTCCATATAACGCAAATACCTGTTAGTCTCCCCCCTTGTTTGTCCCAATTCTTGGTCGAGGGATTTTCTTATCTTCCAGGTTAATTTGAAAACTATATGGCTTTATTTAGTAACTCAGAATTGATTTGGATGCTCTATAATTATGTTATATTTTAATAATTAATAATGCAGTTATAATTAAGTTATATTTCAATGTGTGGACGAGTTTAAAAAAGAAAAAAAAGGCAATTTAATATTTTAATTCATGACTAAACATGAAAAAAATACGAAACCATGTTTTCTTTACAAAAAAAAATGTCTTTTAGTTAAGTGCTTTAAACTTATTTCCTCATAGTACATCTCACTTTTAGTACAAAAATATATTAATCCAATAATATTATATTTACCACGATTGACATGCTAATTTATGTAAATGAATTCAATAAAAAACGTTTCTGGATACCCATTTGTAAATGCAACAAATTACCATTCGCTATGAAATTTTAAAGTTAAAAAAATATTTCTAAACTTCAAAACATTATTTTTAATCTTTGATTCTGAGGGCATGTAGACAATGCAAAGATATTATTGCATATAAAATTATTTTATGAATAATAGTGAATGTGCGTGTCTACTACAACTAGGACATTTCGAGTTGAATTTAGACAGGGGATAAAGGGGAAATTTTAAATCCTGATCATAAAATTTGACTAAAATTTTAAAGTAATTCTTTTGGAAGAAACTTTTGAAAAATGAATTCTTAAACTTTGAATGATTAGATACTTTTTTTTTCTCAAGTATTAAGAAGATAACATCGGTTAAATTTACTAACTTGCAGATTTACTTACTGAAAACGCTGTTCAAAGAGTGATTTTTAGCACTTAATTTTTTATTTCCAATTATTTTAATTAATCAGTGTATCGAAGGTTATTTGAAACTAAGAGTTTATTTTCCTTATAGTTATACTATTGAAACACTGAATAATTGAATTAAATGATTTTAAAAATCAACTTTTCACAAAAAGTCAAAAATTAAAATTTTGCACGTAATTTCGAACGTCTCGAAGGAGAATTGTCTACCAGCACGTGTCTGGGTTTGATTGAGGTCGAATTGTGGCCTACCGGGATTGCGGTTTATCACACCTAAGTATTGCTGCTCGCGTTGGTTGAGATCCCATGAATGTTAGCAGAATATGCAATCGAAGTGCTCATGACAGTCATATAGAAAGCCTTTCAGATCTCAGAGGACCCTAGCACTAACAGCAGAGAACACAGATATGTTATCCACATAGCCTTAAGGTATCACAAAGCTAAGTCCCGAACCCTGAGTCAACAACCCTGTGCACGAACAGTTCGGCGACGTTTGCAACAGCATGGACTGTCAGCACGGTGACCATGGCTACCCAAGGCACAGGCAGGAGCTCCTCCCAAGACGAGCCTGGACGCAGAAATGGCATGGCATCGTCTTTTCACACGAATTCAGGTTCTGTATACAGCATCATGATGGCCGCAACAATGTTCGGCGACATCGTGGAGAACACCCATTGGCAACTTGCATTTGACATCGTCATACTGGCCTATAACCTTTTGTAATGGCATGGTGGTGCACACTTCTCGATTATCACTTTGCCAGTGCCAAAGGAAGTCCGGTCAAGAGATGGTTAGACGAGGTGGAAAAAGATCTCAAGACTCTAAAAGTCCGAAACTGGAAACCAAGAGCTAGAGACGATTTCTGTCAACATTTTAGACAGCACAAGTCACGATCTGAATGCATGGTCAGTCAGCACAGGGATTCAAACCCGAGTCACCTCAATCTGAGTGAGCGCTCTGTCTCATGAGCCATGAGAGCTCTATTATTTGATTATGAAGAAAAATAATAAACTTCCATCATAAGTCGTACTTATTGAAGTTATATTTATGGGAAAAACGTGTAAAACTCTATTGGCTTAAGCTGATAAAAAATGGCAGGCAATTAAAATGCTAAAACATTATATCTTAGACCAGTGTGTTCCAAACTGTGGGGCGCGCCCCCATAGGGGGGCGCGAGACTGTTGCAGGGGGGGGGGCACGCAGCTGATTCCAAAATATCATTTTCGAATACAAACCAAAAAAGTCGAATAGGTGTCAAAAAAATTAATCAGAAAAACGGTTATACGTAATCCACAAAGCTCGCCGCGAATTTCTCGAGTATAAATGCTAAAAAATCCATCCATACTCTTAATGGAACGAAAACATCTTGCTTTCCCGTTTGGAGCCGAGCGCGAGGAAACACTAGACAAGCACTCGGATCATCCCGGGTATTCTCGGAGTTACTCCCGCCACACTTCAGTAAACAGAAGCAGGCAGCAGGCCCCGACAAGGCTTATGAGCCAAGGCCGTCGTTAATTCGACGACGTTAGCACTCATTACATCTGGTGTGGAACTATCATCAATTGCGCGCGACTGCGGGGTTTTTCAAACTCGGACGACGCGACTACACCTGGATGCGTGCACCCAGACGAGAGCAGACACGCGGCATTTCGTTAAGAAACGTTGGTTAAACTCGACCGTTTCCACGCAGATTGTCTACAAACTCGCTTTGGTACACTTCTAAATTAATATTGAGGTAAATTTCAAAACTGTTATAAAGTATTTTTATAAATACGTAACTGGGTTGAAAAGAAAATTGAATGAAGCAGAAGCAGACGGCAAAAGAAGAGGTAACGTAAATAGCGGAACATCTTCGCAAAATAGTAAACCTAAATGTTGAAAATATGATCCAATGCACTTATCATTTGGATTTACATGTAAAGTCATTAATGGCCAAGAACGACCAAAGTGTTTACTGTGTCTGAATACTTTGGCCTCAGACAGCATGAAACCAAATAAATTAAAACGGCATCTCGAAAACGTACATGCAGATCACATTGGCAAGACAATAGAATTTTTCCAAAGAAAATTGGAGAATTTAAATAAACAAAAAGAAATGTTTTCAAAGACCATGTCTGTTACACAAAAAGCATTGCTTGCGTCTTATAAGGTTTCTTATAGAATTGCTAAATGCAAAAAACCCCATGTAATAGGAGAAACTTTAGTGCTACCTGCAGCTATTGACATGGTAGCTACGATGCTAGGTGAATCATATGCTGATCAACTTAAAATCATTCCACTTGCAAATAATACGGTGGGAAGACGAATATCCGATATATCTGAAGATCTTTGCGATCAATTAATAGAAAAAGTAAAACTATCTTCTTTCGCGTTGCAAGTAGATGAGGCTACAGATGTTCTTAAGGATGCACACTTGATTACATATGTAAGATATGTTGTGGAAACTGATGTTAGAGAAGACATGTTATTCTGTAAACCTATTGAAGGCAATACTACAGCAAGTGAAGTTTTTAATATGATTGATAAATTTTTCAATGAATATAACATTCTGTGGGAGAACTGTGTTGGACTATGCACAGATGGAGCTCCATCTATGGCAGGAAAAAACGCTGGTCTACAGGCACTAGTTCGAAAGGTGGCTCCTCGGGCAAGTTGGACGCATTGCATGATTCATAGACAATCACTTGTTTCAAGAGATATGGGTGAAGATTTACTAACAGTATTTCAAGTTATTATAAGAGTTGTAAATTTTATCAAAAATAGCCCATTAAGAGGAAGGCTTTTCGCAAAATTGTGTAATGACATGGGTTCAGAATATACATCACTTCTATATTATTGTGAGGCACGTTGGCTTTCTCTTTCCCAAGTACTTCAAAGGGTGTTTGAGCTAAAAGAAGAGATCGCCATATTCCTTACTGATAATAATAGAGATGAAGCAAACTTGTTTTATGACACGAATTCCTTGTAAAACTTGCGTATTTAGTGGATATTTTTCAAAGACTCAGTACTTTAAATAAATCAATGCAAGGGCCTCAAATTCATGCTTTTGTCCAGAAAGACAAGGTTACTGCATTTATGAGAAAATTGGAACTGTGGATAATAAGTTTGAAAAATAATAATTTTGACATGTTTCCCACTTTTAAAATTACCTGTCTTGCAGATGAAATAGAAGAAAGTAAAGTTCTTATTAATAAACACTTGACCAGTTTAAGGGAGCAATTCTCGTTTTACTTTAAAGATCTTGACATGTCCAAATATGAATGGATTAGAAACCCGTTTGTGATTGAAAAATATGATGATTTTGGCCTTACGACAGCAGAGCAGGAAATGATAATTGACTTATCTAGTGACAGCACATTAAAGCAGATGTTTCAACACGAAAATAATATTGTCACGTTTTGGTTACGAGTAAAGGACGAGTTTCCTACTTTATCAAATAAAGCTTTAGAAATTTTATTGCCCTTTGTAATATCTTACTTATGTGAAACTGGGTTTTCTGCAGTAGCTGTCTTAAAGACAAAGTATCGATCTTGCTTAAAGATTGAAAAGGAACTGAGAACCGCGATATCTTCAATGATACCACGGTTTGACAAAATTTGTGCTGAAAAACAAGCTCACCCTTCACATTAAATTTTATAATGTTGTATTAATGTTGAATTCTATTTTTTGTACTTTTGTAAGATTTGTTTTTATTACATTATATCATTATTTCTTAAAATAGATAATTATTTTTTATGTATTTTTATACATAATATTGTATATTATTTTGTAGCTCATTAAATAAATTGCAATATCAGATGAGTGTTTATGAAATGGGATTGTTAGAAAAATTAAGGGGGGCACAACAAATTTTTTTTCCAAAGAGGGGGGCGCAGGTGCAAAAAGTTTGGAAAGCACTGTCTTAGACAGATATTAAACAAGTAGAGTATAAATTCAGCAATGAAGTCCATAAAATGTTCAAAATTTCCGAAAAGTAAGAGAAAGTAGAGAAAAATAATCATAAAATGATTAAAAAAAGATTGTAAACTTACGGTAAGTAAAACTGCATGAAAAAAGCAAGAAATTGAGTTGACAACAGTTTTAATAATTTTATGATTCTGGAGAAAAACGGAAAAAATCTGTTATATTAAAAACAGGCAAAAACCATCAAATAAACGGGAAAAGTTTGTAAAAAAAAGAAAAAGAAAAAGTGGAATTTTTTGCAAAGCTTGGTTACTAATTAAAAACATTAAAAAAAACTTGTATTTAATCTAAATTAGTTTTTCTCCTGTAAAAAATATTTTTTTTGGAGAATTTACAGTAATGTTTTTACAGTGCATACATAATATATCTAATTTCTGCTTTAAGTTTATCTCGTGGTATTCTAATTTAAAAGTTTTAAATTTTCCTGTGCCTTAGTCTCTGGAGAGCCTTCTAGTAACGCTATTATGATACGTTTAGTTTATGCTGCACTTTTGAAAAAAAAAACATTCTGCTATTTAATGTCTGTGATATTTTCATTTACTCCTGCTAATTTCTTCTCCGTTTAATTAGTTGATAAATGCTAAGATAAACGAAAAAAAAAATCTTTTTTGATAATTTATTCAAAAGCAGTCATGAGCAAACTATGTGTAAAATCAGATAACCACATTTATTCTTTATTATTTTAAAATGTATAACTTTGCAATAATATAAATATATATTATATTGAACAATTAAATAAATTTTAGAATCAGAATAACTGAGTAAAGTAAAAAAAATCTTTAAATCAAATCCTCATTTACATTAATTGCTGAGAAAAAATTCTAATCCTTAAGATTTCACATCCGTAAATAAATAGCGTTCAAAAATTTTATTGAATTAACATTGAAACTAATAACCAAATGATTTAAAAAGAGCTTCATAAGAGCTCAATTAAAAATAATAAGTGAAGACATGAACATCACAATTTAAGATTGTTAATTTTCTATAACTTATAAGAAAACTGCACATTTTCCTTTCTTATTAGAGTGAAATATTTTAATGCTTTTGCTGGATCCGCGGATTTTCAGCATTTTGACAAGGTTTAAATGTTATTTATTTTGTCATTGTAATCCACTTAATTTTTTTTTTGATCTGCTTCTTAATTTATATTGTTAAGTATCTTTCTAAATTTTTTACTACTTTGTGACCGAAAAATGCATCATTAATTAGGAGTCATTAGCATATAAGCCTGAAGAGAAATATTCGATGCATTTTTTTTATATTACAATTTTCGATAAGAAAACATCTCTAATCAAGTTGCTTAATTCATAATTAATATAACTAACTACCACATTTATAAATATAAATAAATTTTAATTATGATTATTTTCATAAGTGGAGCAATTAAATTAGTATTTAGAAATGTAATTATCTTGACAATTATTCATAGATCATTTAACACAATTTTTCAAGTCCTCTATATCGCATAACTACTGATGTCTATCTAAGAGCCACGTAAAATCATTGTTCTCATATAGTGTTCATTCATTGGGTAATCTATTTCCACCGAAAGTCTGTTCGGTCACATGTTAGTAGATGTTTTTTTGTATATTTATCAGAATTCTGATGTATCGTATGGCTAAAAGGACACGAAAATTAAAATTGTTCCCCCACTTTCATTAACGCGGAAAATTCTTTGTATTTTGTCAGATTTGGTTTCTCACCATTTGCTAAGTTAGTGATTAAATACTCGCTAATCTCAATGATTGCTTATGCTAAGGTGTTTATTAATAAATAAAACGTAACTTCAATAGCCATATTTTGTCTTCGTTTTTTCAAAGTGAGAAAACTATTATGTACCATCTATTGTTCTGAAAACAGAAAACTACTAATACTATCCTTATAATTTCTTTAAAGAAACAAGGTGCTACACATACACTAACAAATTCCTCGAGAGAATTTTTCTAAAGAAGACTATATGACCAGGAAATATATTGAAACGTTTGATTGCTTGCTACTGTTGCCAATCAAATTGACAGAAAAATATTGAATATCTTAAGTTTTAAAGATATTTATGAAATGCTCATTCACAAGGATGTGTTCAATATTTACCCTACAAGGAGCCATCTTTGATATAGTTCAGATATTCTGTTACCTCGATCCTCATTTATATACTTCAAGAATTCAATTTTGAAGCTATCTGTTGAATTCTAGGAAACTAATCAAAAATGAAACCTTAAACTTCATTTAATGACAATATCATTCCCTTCTCGAAAGCGTCTCCTGGAAGCAAGACAAACCAAGAAATTAATTATTCTCTTTGGAATTATCTCTACTCAATCTGAAACAGCTTTCTTAATAATTCGTTCGTTTCAAACACGACCAATATTGAAATTAAATTTCTATTCCTAAATCACAGCAAAATTTTATATTATATATATTTTGTTTAGCGGAAAAATTAAAATGTAGTTCCAAATATATAAGCACTTTTAAGTAATTTATTAAAGTAAGTTTTTAAGTAATTATTTTTAAGTAATTTATTTTAAATTTAGTAATCGGGTCGTAAAAGAGAGTCATCTTGCAAAAACATTCTGGGATATCTTGCAAAAACATTCTGTGCTCCAGACATGATCACTTTTGTCGAACTTTTTTTTTCGAATTTCCTTCTATAATTCCATTGTGAAAATCTATGAAAAAAAATGATAAAGAAAATTAAAACAAATAAATGTAATAAAATTTTAAATAGTTTTTGTGTAGCAAAAAATTGCAACCATTTATTTATCCAACACTTAATTTTTTGCTTGCAAGTTACCAAAATGTTAAGCGCAAAACTTTACAAAACATAAGAGAAATCCCTTCATGCAATATTTATTATTTTAAAATTTAATTGTCTGAAATTAGAGACAAAAATGTTTATTTTTATGCAATTTGTATGACAATAATAATTTACAAATAAATGCTTTGAAAATGCTTACATTAGTAGTCGTAATCCCCAAAATAGGGTTACCTCTGTTCAACGGCGGTTGTAAAATATAAAATAAGATAATCTCATCTTTTAAATATTAAAAAAAAAAAACTTATCTAATCTAAAAAAAACTCATCTAAATCATAATCCTAACCGGGATAACTGGTTGGTAGGGCATTGTCCCCATGTTCAAGAGATCTTGGATTAGACGACAGTCGGCCGAAGACTACTAGTGTTGTAAATGACAACTGATACACGTTAAATCCGTCGAGTCTCAAAGTTCTCCATGTTCCCATAACAAATCATTCCTTCGGGGGTACTGATCCAGGAATTTCCATGTCTTCTCGTTTGGGTCGAAACTACAAGGCTACGGAGTTGAACATTAGTTGTGCTAAGACCAAAATTGGGCCAGCAGTTCAGGGACGGTTATAAATACAAAATAAAATCATAATCATCTAAATCATAACAACCTAAAACAATGTCTTCCGCTAAGACAATGAATTTAAAATATAGTTAAAAAAATCACAAATCGGGTATCGGGCAAACCGGTATACAGATTACATTTCATGGCAAATGTTGTTACAAATCAAGAATTTTTTGATAAGCTTTAAGTTATTTTAAAACGTTGAGGTAACGCGGCAATTGCCAAATATTCGAATTTCAACATTAAAAAAAAAAAAAAAAACTTCGCTTTACTATCACCGTTTCTCAACTAGAAATTGAAAAGATTTGATCGCTAGAAGAACTGCTTTTTCCCATTTCATCACATTTCTTATAATTGTCCAGTTAAAAAAAATGATACTATTTTCCATACATTTCAGCCAGGTATTTAAATTTCAATATAAAAAATATTCATTGGTTTAAATACGAGCTTTTCACAACTTCAAAATAAAATGATTTGGGTTTTTTTCTACGTTCCTCTAATTTAGAAATACCACTTTTTCT